AGCTTGCCGATCATCGGCAGCTGGCCTGATGACATTCATATTCGTATGTTACAACATTTACATCGGTCAGCCTTGTAGTCCTCTTACACCTCTTCAATCTTATTTGGGCACAAGGAGTTCTTCCCCAGCTGTGGAAATCTGCCATGTTCTCCTTTCCGCAAACCGGGTACTACAGGACATGATGCCTCCCACTATCGCCCCATCGCTCTTACAAGTGCAGTTTTGCAAAGTGATGGAAGTCTCGTAATCGCGTTTAATGTGGTATTTAGAGACACACAACAGTCTCCTCCGCTAGTCAATATGGCTTTCGTAAGGGTCGTTCTACCATAGACCCCTTACTTCGCTTGGATACGTATTTCGTAATGGCCTTTGCGAATAATCACTCAGTTATTGCCATATTTTTGACCTTGAGAAGGCATATGACACAACTTGGAGGTATAATATTTTTGCCCAGGCCCATTCCTTAGGCCTCCGAGGCAATCTACCATCCTTCCTTAAGAACTTTTTAACTGACAGACATTTCCGTGTTCGAGTCAATAATGTTCATTCCCCGGACTTCGTCCAAGCTGAAGGTGTCCCTCAGGATGTGTTCTAAGCACAACACTTTTTCTCCTTGCTATAAATGATTTGGCCTCTGTTCTTCCACCCAATGTTTGGTCATCACTCTATTTGATGACTTCGCTATTGCTTGTGCAGGCGCTGACGTCATCTATTGCAGCTTCTCTCAGCATGCGGTCGACCGTTGTTTCCACTTGGGCCACCACGCATGGTTTAAATTTTCAAGTACAAAACTCACCAAATTACTTTCACTAGACGCTCTGTTATCTCCGATCATCCTTTGTACCTCTATGGCTCCCGTATCCCCGAACGTGATACAGTCAGGTTTCTAGGCCTTCTCTTTGACCGTCGGTTATCCTGGAAACCTCACATAACCTCTCTGAAGGCAATTTGTCACAGCCGGCTAAACCTTCTTAAAACCCTTGCTCATCTTTCCTGGGGAGCTGATCGTCGAACTCTGCTTCGCCTACATTCAGCCCTCGTTTTATCGAAACTCGATTATGGTGACCAGATTTATTCCGCGGCCTCTCCTGCTACTCTCTCTAGCCTTAACTCTATCCATCACCAAGGTTTACGTTTGTGCCTTGGTGCTTTTCGCTCTTCCCCTGTTGAGAGCCTCTATGCAGAAGCGAATGTTCCATCCTTGTCTGATCGCCGTGATGCCCATTGCCTTCGCTACTATGTACGCTCTCACGATCTACACAATCCTTCCATTTATAGAATCGTCACCGATATTAGTAGACATTCTTTATTCGTTCGCCGCCCCTGTTTGCTCCGTCCCTTTTCTCTTCGCCTACATTCACTCTTGTCTTCCCTTCAGTTACCACCTTTATATGTTCATGTAGCATCTCACTTTTCCCTACCCCCCTGGGAAGTTCCAGCTGTTCGGGTCTGTTCTTTCTCACTTACTCCCTTGCTCGAAAGCTCAACTGCCTACGGTGGCTTCCCGCTCTCTTTTTCTTGATCACTTCCATTCCCATTCTCATGCCACTGCTGTGTACACAGATGGCTCTAAGTCTTCAGACGGCGTCGGATTCGCAGCAGTGTTTCCGGACAGCGTCGTGCGGGGACATTTACTATCTTCAGCTAGCATTTTTACTGCTGAACTGTATGCCATTCTTGCAGCACTTATTCGTATCGCATCTATGCCTATGTCATCATTTGTAGTTAGTCTCAGACTCCCTTAGTGCTCTACAGGCTATACGAAAATTTGATACATCTCATCCCCTAGTTCTCCGTATCCAACTTTGGCTACGCCGTATCTCTACCAAACATAAAGATATTGTTTTTTGTTGGGTCCCTGGTCATGTCGACATACAGGGCAATGAACAGGCAGACACTGCTGCGCGGTCAGCAGTACATGACCTACCAATTTCCTATCGAGGTGTCCCATTTCTTGACTAATTTTGCTACAATAGCTACCCTCCTTCGCACCCGTTGGCAACAACGTTGTCAACTCTGCTCGGTAACAAACTTCATTCTATTAAACCGAGCATAGGTTACTGGCCGTCTTCTTGTCATCAGTGCCGAGGTTGGGAGACCACTCTCTCCCGCCTTCGCATTGGCCACACTCGTCTTACTCATGGGTATCTCATGGAAAGGCACCCTGCTCCTCTCTGTGAGCAGTGTCAAGTTCCAGTATCGATTAGCCACATTCTGTTAGACTGCCCTCTCTATCAACGAGCACGCAGAATTTACCTCCACGTCGTCTTCGTTCTACTACTCTCTCTTTACCTTCCCTTCTTGCTGATGGACCCTCCTTTAATCCTGACTCTCTCATTGACTTCTTGACAACGACTGATTTACTCCACAAACTCTGATGATACTTTTCGCACTCCCCTCAGCCCTTTCTAGTTCAGTCTCTTGCTGCCCTTTACCCTTTCACCATCCACTGCCCCGCTGTTATCCGTAACCTATTACTCATTCATCTCCCTTTTGCCACCTGATGCCCTCGCTTCCTTCCTGCCCTGCAGCGCTGTATAGTCCTTGTGGCTTAGCGCTTCTTTTTGATTATAATAATAATAATAATACTGTTCTATGTAAATGACAGGATCAAACACAGATGCCTTGAATCCTCTCCCATTAAGCTAACACAAAGTACTGTAGTGTTTATTTTTTCTATACCCAGTCTACATTATGATGAAGGAATAAACCTAATATGGGCCAGTAGGCTTGTTGCAGTGCTTCCCTGCTTATAACTACATAACTACCCAGCCTGGATGTACTATACTGGATGTAATTTTTCCATTTTGCTTTGAGTACTTGAAGCCAATTTGTGGCAAAGCTTTTTACTAAGCTGTTTCTTAGCATACTATTGGTGTTTCACCATTACTCTGGCAGCAACAACTTGGTTGACTAGTCAGTCCAGCCTCATTATTATTATAATCATTAAGTGCTAAACCCACAAAGATCATACAGCAAATCCAGCCTCAGCCCACACTATGGGAGGACATCCCTCAAAATCAATCATAGGTATGAATTATGCATGCTCTCAGGGCAAAGAAATGAGTGGGTACAAATTCATTGCATTTATTTGGTGTCCCCGGTAGAGCAACTACAGACCCTTCACCAACCCGCTTAGCGCACAAGAGAAGATGCAAGGAGCTCACAGTGGCTCAACAAGGCACAGGTGGTACCATTCGTTTTGTAATACATATATACTGCCATTCATTAATGACAACATTTGAATAGCCATTTATTTAGTGGTACCATTATAAATAACATGTAAATGCAGCACTTTAAATAAATGATGCCTTTAAACAACATTTTCTTTTCAAACATAATGCCAGCACAAAATATACTTTGCAATACTGTCATTCAACTGACGGGTAAAAATATTTAAGCAACACATAAATACCAAATGTTGATGTTTTTGTATCAAAACAAAGGACTATCACTCAGTAAAGTACTGTAATAATGTAAACCTCATTGTCTTAGAGAGCCAAGTTAATTGACCTGTGTATGTAAGTAGAAATGCTCAAAGTGAGTATAATTTTTTTTTTCCATTTGCAGACACTACCACCACACTAACCCAACTGGGAGTCTATTTGGCCAGGTTCTTGAGATATTGTACTATATATCAGTTATTAAAAGATACTTAAGCATTTTAAGTTGTAATTTTACAAGTTACAATTGCCATACATAGGTATTTGATAACTGATAAACAATATCACTTTTTCAAGACACTAAAATGAGTTTAATCAGTATTCAAAGGGACCTGAAAAAATTCTGTGGTAGTGATCTAGAGTAAAAATTAATCATGATAACTTGGGTAATTAGTGCTCATGATTATTTGGCAATTTTTCACATGTTTTATACAAGACAAAGATTTAGATGTGTATTGTACAGATATAGTAGTGAGAAGTATAGCAAAAGTAAACTATATATCTTTACAAAAGTTTGAAAGGTTAGAGCAAGAAAAAAAAAACAATGCACATGTGAACCAGTGTCTAAATAACCTCATAGAAAGTGTTAATTCTATTATCTAAGAAACTTAAATGTTTAATAGCTGCCCCATGGGCTGTCAAACATAAATTAAAAGAAGTATAAAAACTATGTGCTAAATGACATTAAGTAAAGTTAATGCACAGTGCAATTACTATCCATAAGAAGTTGAGCTTTGTTAATGTCATTTAGAATTTAGTTTTCATATTTGGTATAAAAAGCTATAGTATAAATGACTACAGTGTCATTGTTAAAAAATTAAATTATTCACAAAAATAACCCTAATATTATGCTGCATTCGTGTTACAAAATCCTTTAAAGTAAACAATAAGGGATATTGCTATTTTCTTTGAGAAATCTTTATCACAATATTTTCTGACCGCTTCCCTATCCTATAGTATTTTGCATGCTTCAAATTACCCCAGCAAATAATTTCTTAACAGTTACTGTGAAATAACAGATCAGATGCACAGTACATATTTCAAATAAAGAACTAATATTTTAAACAATAGTACTGTATCAGTGTTAACAAAGTAGAAAAATCTTTCAGCCTCTCAACTGTTATGGTAATTTATAATTTGAGAGTAACATTCCCTGTTTTCACCCCTTTCCTCTTTAAAACTTTTTTTTGGATGGGGCTAATTGGGAGCTTTTATTTACCCTATTTAAAGCAATACTGGTTTTTGTACCACTTACCAAAGAGATGTACAATTTTCCTTGTTTTTCTAATGCTCCAATATCATCTGTAAGCACATGGCTTATGGCACTAAACTATAGCTATACTATAGTGAGGATCTGGACATTATGAACAACTTAACCAATTACTATGACAACAGAAAGCACATACACAAAGGATGAAAAAGTAATGGCCAATTATTCTGTAAAACCAATTTTCCAACTGGACATATGTAAATCCCTCAAGAACATTTTAACCCTTTGACTGTCGCAAGCCCCTTTCTGAAACTGTCATTCTGTGTCACAAAATTTTTTGAAAAAAAAAAAAATTCATATGAAATGATATAGAATCTTTAACCGATGGTAATGACACCAAAAGTACGAAATTTGGTCGAAAACTGACGGAATTATGCTCCTGCGAAGTTAGCGTCTTGGCGACAAACGCATCGGCGATTTCACCAACTTTGAGCACTGTTTTTGGCCAATTCCGCTGTTCCATTTGACCAAACTCATAGCTATTTCTTTAGAACTCCATTTTTTCTATCATTTGAGTACAAGAAACCGCCCATTTACCGATTTGAACTACCCAATGAAGTGGTCAGAAATTGGCAATTTGGCCAATTTCATGCAAATTAAAAAAGATGCCAATTTCAAAATAGGGTCCAAAATAAACAATGTAGACATTCTTGGCACTAAAATAACATATCATTAGTCATGTCTCTAAGCCCCTCGTATATTACTATTGCTTTCTATTTTGATTTTTTCATACAAAAAATACAAAATTTACTGTTATGCAGACTAATGCATTATTGTAAAAATGGTATAAATAATATCAGTGCATTAGTGAAAGAATATTCGACTCCCCAGTTGATGTGTATTGGATGTGTGGTGTGATTTGCTTACTCCTGAACATTAGTAAAAATCGAACACTTCCGCTACTTTAAGCTCAATTTAAAGGTCGTTTTCATCGTGAAACTAATCAAAATCATCTCTATTTCTCTAATATGTTTTCCATTTTATCACGCAAGACCATGAAAATGAGAATACAATGATAAATTCTATACAAAAATACACATCAAAGTCAGCGTTTTAATAAAAAAAAAACGGTGCACACTGACCACATTCTCTCACATGTGGGCCTACCAGCTTTCTCCTGCTTGATTTGAAGCCGCTAAAATTTATGCATATTAATACGTCCGAAACAGTGGCGCGTAAGACATATATATACGACCAAAACAGTCAAAGGGTTTAATGATAATTTCATGAACATCCTGTTTCCTTATCATTCATAAGTGCTAAGCACAGAGGAAAGTACGAAGAGTCAAGATTCTTTTCATAATGCCCACATCCCTTTTGAATTATTAATTAGGACTGCAAGTAACTGCACAAGTTTTTTACTCAAATATATGGAGCATTAAGTTCCATAGCACTTCTGATATGCTGTACTCGTATTTTTTTACATCCTAGGTTTAATACTATAGACACATTGATTTTACCAATATACATATTGAATTGAGCATGTACATGTACCTCATATTGCTAACAGCACAATTTGTATCCTATCTGTAGAATTGCCTATAAATATTTTAGCAATTGCTTGCAGTCTACTAATGGGGAAACGGTCTACTTCCAATTATGGTAGGGACTATCATTATCCAACACTTGATAATTTTACAACACAACTTAAACATCAGTTACTATTGCATCACAAGTCACTTTTGCCGCAGTTATCCTTAGCCTATGCAGATAATAAGGTCTCATTCACCAGGGTACTACTCCTGAGAAGTGAACAAAATCTATTTATGGACGGATATTTGATAAGATTAGCAAGAAGAGAGGGGAGACTTTTGAGGTAAGGAACAGAGACCCCAATTGGTAAACAATGCTTGAATTAATTATTCTAACAACTTAAATAATTGCTGTCATCAGACCTAATGATTGACTGTGCTAACTGATATTTCAAGCAGTGTTTTATGTTCATGGGGAAAAACTGTTGAGTATTGATCAAAACCCAGAGAAGGCAGTGAAAAATATTACATATACTTTATATGCTATCTTCAAATTCATGGTTACACTTGTGTCATATTTTTAATAACATTTTAAGACAAAAAAAATTGAAAGGTGTACAGTATTTCATCCACATATCTATGTAATATTAAAAATATGTAATAAGAACTTAGTTCAATACTGCAATATGTTTCTTACTTTTATATAAGCAATACCTCTCACTGACTCTGGACATGACATCCCTGTTCCTTTTGCCACCTGTTTCCTCTCATCCTCTCAGACAAGCTTCACAACCATTTAATAAAGTTTATCAGAGAATCTGTCAAACTTCAAATATGTCAACTGGTTTAGAGCATAGATTAAAATTACAAAAGAAGCATTTGAATATCTGTATATAACTTAAGTATTTAGTATTTCTCCTATAGTGTGAAGTATCAATAAAGCTGTTATCCATTACGCACCTTTATCTTGTTTTAGGACATTTTATACCGGAGCACCATTTTACGTTTTCTATTATAGGCATCATGATACAGAACTAAGTATCCACATCAGCAGGATATGAGAATACTGTATTACCATACATAATTTTGTCATGTGTAATATCAGTTATTCTCTTAGTAATCCTAGTGACTGATTCTTCAGTTACTGTAAACTTGATTATGCTGTAGTTTTCATTATTCCCTTTAGTCAGGAGGTTCACATGTTTTGCAGGAGTTATATAACAATACACTGTAAAATAACTTCCATAATTATTTGAATGTCTTTTCCAACTTTTAGAGAAATCAGTCAGTGTCCAACTTAAGTTCATAATTGTTTAAGATATTCATGATGCCTTTCTTCAAATGATTTTCAGACATGTCAAACTATGAAATAAAATGAAGAAAGAAATCTATGCAACTGAAAACACTTGTAGATGCTTCAACACACTTTTTGGCATTCACTCTTTCCAATATTTTAGGAGGAGTGACTGTAAGCAGTGTTGGTGTAAGGGCTGGAGTATATAGAAGAGCCGGTGGTAGAGTCCTCCTTTCTCCTACGACGGCGAGAAATTAGTATGAGGATGGAAGCAATAACTGCTACCATTAGAATGAGACCTGCAATGGCAATGCCAATGGCAAAAGTCTTGGGAGAGAGACAAAATGTGTTGGGATCCTCTACTACTTCTTCCTTCAGAGGTGTAAGTGTGTCAGAGGCTCCTTCAGGGTCTGGAAGCTGCAAGAACAACAAGGATACATTTACCAGTCATTGTTTAATGGATGATACATTCTGATATTATGTAAAAGAAATATTTTATGATTACTATATTAACTTTTAATAAAATGATTTTTTTTTTTTTCAACAAGTCGGCCGTCTCCCACCGAGGCAGGGTGACCCAAAAAAAAAAGAAAGAAAATACTTTCATCATCATTCAACACTTTCACCACACTCGCACATTATCACTGTTTTTGCAGAGGTGCTCAGAATACAACAGTTTAGAAGCATACACATATAAAGATACACAACATATCCCTCCAAACTGCCAATATCCCAAACCCCTCCTTTAAAGTGCAGGCATTGTACTTCCCATTTCCAGGACTCAAGTCCGACTATATGAAAATAACCGGTTTCCCTGAATCCCTTCACTAAATATTACCCTGCTCACACTCCAACAGATCGTCAGGTCCAAGTACCGTTCGTCTCCATTCACTCCTATCTAACACGCTCACGCACGCTTGCTGGAAGTCCAAGCCCCTTGCCCACAAAACCTCCTTTACCCCCTCTCTCCAACCCTTTCGAGGACGACCCCTACCCTGCCTTCCTTCCCCTATAGATTTATATGCTTTCCATGTCATTCTACTTTGATCCATTCTCTCTAAATGACCAAACCACCTCAACAACCCCTCTTCTGCCCTCTGACTAATACTTTTATAACTCCACACCTTTTCCTAACACTCCGAATTTTCTGCATAATATTTACACCACACATTGCCCTTAAACAGGACATCTCCACTGCCTCCAACCGTCTCCTTGCTGCTGCATTTACCACCCAAGCTTCACACCCATATAAGAGTGTTGGTACTACTATACTTTCATACATTCCCTTCTTTGCCTCCATAGATAACATTTTTTGACTCCACATATACCTCAACGCACCACTCACCTTTTTTCCTTCATCAATTCTATGACTAACCTCATCCTTCATAAATCCATCCGCCGACACGTCAACTCCCAAGTATCTGAAAACATTCACTTCTTCCATACTCCTCCTCCCCAATTTGATATCCAATTTTTCTTTATCTAACTCATTTGACACCCTCATCACCTTACTCTTTTCTATGTTCACTTTCAACTTTCTACCTTTACACACATTCCCAAACTCATCCACTAACCTTTGCAATTTTTCTTAGAATCTCCCATAAGCACAGTATCATCAGCAAAAAGTAACTGTGTCAATTCCCATTTTGAATTTGATTCCCCAAAATTTAATCCCACCCCTCTCCCGAACACCCTAGCATTTACTTCCTTTACAACCCCATCTATAAATATATTAAACAGCCATGGTGACATTACACATCCCTGTCTAAGACCTACTTTTACTGGGAAGTAGTCTCCCTCTCTTCTACACACCCTAACCTGAGCCTCACTATCCTCATAAAAACTCTTTACAGCATTTAATAACTTAACACCTATTCCATATACTTGCAACATCTGCCACATTGCTCCTCTATTCACTCTATCATATGCCTTTTCTAAATCCATAAATGCAATAAAAACTTCCCTACCTTTATCTAAATACTGTTCACATATATGCTTCAATGTAAACACTTTATCTACACATCCCCTACCCACTCTGAAACCTCCTTGTTCATCCGCAATCCTACATTCTGTCTTACCTCTAATTCTTTCAATTATAACCCTACCGTACACTTTTCCTGGTATACTCGGTAAACTTATTCCTCTATAATTTTTACAGTCTCTTTTGTCCCCTTTCCCTTTATATAAAGGGGCTATACATGCTCTCCGCCAATCCCTAGGTACCTTCCCCTCTTTCATACATTTATTAAACAAAAGTACCAACCACTCCAACACTATATCCCCCCCTGCTTTTAACATTTCTGTCATGATCCCATCAGTTCCAGCTGCTTTACCCCCTTTCATTTTACGTAATGCCTCACGTACCTCCCCCACACTTACATTCTGCTCTTCTTCACTCCTAAAAGATGGTATACCTCCCTGACCAGTGAATGAAATTATTGCCTCTGTTTCTTCCTTAACATTTAAAAGTTCCTCAAAATATTCTCGCAATCTACCTAATACCTCCATCTCCCCATCTACTAACTCCCCTACTCTGTTTTTAACTGACAATCCATACTTTCCCTAGGCTTTCTTAACTTGTTTAACTCACTCCAAAAATTTTTCTTATTTTCATTAAAATTTCTTGACAGTGCCTCTCCCATTCTATCATCTGCTCTCCTTTTGCACTCTCTCACCACTCTCTTACCTTTTCTTTTACTCTCCATATACTCTGCTCTTCTTATAACACTTCTGCTTTGTAAAAACCTCTCATAAGCTACCTTTTTCTCTTTTATCACACCCTTTACTTCATCATTCCACCAATCACTCCTCTTTCCTCCTGCCCCCACCCTCCTATAACCACAAACTTCTGCCCCACATTCTAATACTGCATTTTTAAAACTATTCCAACCCTCTTCAACCCCCCCCCCCCCACTACTCATCTTTGCACTAGCCCACCTTTCTGCCAATAGTCGCTTATATCTCACCCGAACTTTCTCCTCCCTTAGTTTATACACTTTCACCTCCCTCTTACTTGTTGTTGCCACCTTCCTCTTTTTCCCATCTACCTCTTACTCTAACTGTAGCTACAACTAAATAATGATCCGATATATCAGTTGCCCCTCTATAAACATGTACATCCTGGAGCCTACCCATCAACCTTTTATCCACCACTACATAATCTAATAAACTACTTTCATTACGTGCTACATCATACCTTGTATATTTATTTATCCTCTTTTTCATAAAATATGTATTACTTATTACCAAATCTCTTTCTACACATACCTCAATTAAAGGCTCCCCATTTACATTTACCCCTGGCACCCCAAATTTACCTACTACTCCCTCCATAACATTTTTACCCACTTTAGCATTGAAATCCCCAACCACCATTACTCTCACACTTGATTCAAAACTCCCCACGCATTCACTCAACATTTCCCAAAATCTCTCTCTCTCCTCTACACTTCTCTCTTCTCCAGGTGCATACACGCTTATTATAACCCACTTTTCACATCCAATCTTTATTTTACTCCACATAATCCTTGAATTAATACATTTATAGTCCCTCTTTTCCTGCCATAGCTTATCCTTCAACATTATTGCTACTCCTTCTTTAGCTCTAACTCTATTTGAAACCCCTGACCTAATCCCATTTATTCTCTCCACTGAAACTCTCCCACCCCCTTCAGCTTTGTTTCACTTAAAGCCAGGACATCCAGCTTCTTCTCATTCATAACATCCACAATCATCTCTTTCTTATCATCTGCACAACATCCACGCACATTCAGACTTCCCACTTTGACAATTTTCTTCTTATTCTTTTTAGTAATCTTTACAGGAAAAGGGGTTACTAGCCCATTGTTCCCGGCATTTTAATTAACTTTTACAACATGCATGGCTTACGGAGGAAAGATTCTTATTCCATTTCCCCATGGATATAAAAGGAAAAGTAATAAGACCAAGAACTATTAAGATAAAATTAAAGAAAACTCAGATGAGTGTGTATAAATAAAATAAAATGATAATAAAATGATACGTTAATTAAATGGAATAGGGAAAGTACATAAATTATTATTATCAAGAAGAAGCACTGAACCTACAAGGGTCATATGGCACAGAGCATACATATAAGATTTGCAAATACACCATTTTTAACTTATATTTTAGACTTCTATATACATATATACTTTAACACTGCAAATTATACTTTTCTGTTATAACCTGAACCCTCAAGGAGTTACCTTGATGCTGGCAAATGGCTCTTGATCCAAGGAATTTGAGCTACTTTTGTCACTGTCAAATCAAACCTGATTATCTCTCACACTCCTCAGGTGCTGGATGAACCTTATGGGTCTTGGAGATTTCCCTTGAATCTTTAATAATAATAATACTTGTAATCTCCCAAGTCTCAACCAAAAAGTAAAAAAAAAATTTTGTCTGTGGTTGGGAGTTTTCAAACTCATTCCCTCACAAGACCAGACTTCTTTTTTTCTGGCCTCCCTGAAATTGGGCATCCATTACATCTGTTAATAGTTCCTGGGATCTCAGCCTGGTCTCAGAATAGGCAGGGTGACCCAAAGAAGGAAAAACATTCATTCAGCAGCTACTCTGCCATAAGTGAGTAGACATTACAATGCAGATGACCATCTGAAGTACAAAATTTGGCAAGTAAACTTAGTGGTCATACTTTGTACTTACTTCCTCATCCTCGTTTACATAAAGACCAGTGAAGACCTCAATGGTGAGGTTCTCATCAACTTCTGCCTCTACTTCCTTCAGGTTGCCATTTCCATCAACCTCAGATACATCCCTACGGCGCCGACGAAGCAAGTTCTGACCCTCCACACACACAGGCGGCTGTTAAAAGATGATGTGAGAAAGATGTACACTCAGGGTTGGGGTTAATGTGTAGTATAAAAGAAAAATGAAAGGAATAGAGCACTTAAAAAATATATTATTTAAACTGAAAATATATAAAATACTGTAAAGGGAAGAGAAAGAGACGTACTAAGCAACAAAATGTAAATTTTGATATTAAAAAAATGAGAGACTATAATATTACTGAGTCTGTTAATAACTAAAGCTTTTTGTTATACATATTGTGCAGCAGTTTCTCTTTTATGGAATTCTCCCAAAAGGTTCTTAATCACGAGTCACAAAATCGTAATGACATGATTGCAAACAAACCATACCACGGGTGGGGTTAGAACCCACGATCAGAGTCTGAAAACTCCAAACCGACGAGTTAGCCACTGGGTCAGCTGGCCCAGTGGCTAATGCGTCGATCTGGAGTTTTAAAACTGCAGGTTCTAACCCCCACCTGTGGTATGGTCTTTTAATCAGTAAGTTTTTATTAAGTCCCATCATGAAAGGATATAATGTTTCCCAAGCAGCTGTGTTGAAGAGACCATCTTTGATATTGTTTTAATGTCACCTTTACACCATTTATATTTCTGGTATTTTTAATGTTTATACAGTAGTGTACTGTATATTGTAATAGAATAGAGGAAATCAGCTCTACTATACATTATTTAGGTATGCATACTGGTCAGAGAGCCCATCGCAAGTCTGAGTCGTCGGTAAATGAGTATGTTGCTAAGTGAGGAGAAGCTGTATAACCATTTTTTTTTCTTTTTAAAAGATACTGTATATGGTTAAAAACAGTAATATATTTCATCTTGACATTGCCAACACATTGAATAACAATGACAGCCTATATTTTTAATAAATTTCTGTAAATAATGTATACAGGCACTCCTCACATAACGACTTGAGTTTCATTCCTACAAGTAGGTCATTAACCCTTTGACTGTCGCAAGCCCCTTTCTGAAACTGTCAATCTATGTTGAAAAATTTTTGGAAAAAAGAAAATTATTTTTTCTTATGAAATGATAATCTTTTCCCGATGGTAATGACAAAAAAAGTACGAAATTTGGTCGAAAACTCACGGAATTACGCTCCCGAAAGTTAGCGGTCTCGGCGCCATGTACACACCGGTGATTTCGCTGACTTTGAGCCCTGTTTTTGGCCAATTCTATTGTTCCAGTTAACCAAACTCATAGCTATTTCTTTAGAACTCCATTTTGTCTATCAATTGATTACAAGAAACTGCCCATTTACTGATTTGAACTACCCAATGAAGTGGTCAGAAATTGGCAATTTGGACAATTTCACACAAATTAAAAAAGATGCCAATTTCAAAATAGGGTTCTGAATAAACAATGCAGACATTCTTGGCACTAAAATAACATATCCTCTGTTAATTAGTCACATCTCTAGGCCCCTCTTATATTACTATTACTTTCTATTTTAATTTTTTATTCATACAAAAAATACAAAATTTACTGTTATGCAGACTACTGCATTATTGTAAACATAGTATAAATAATATCAGTGCACTAGTGAAAGAATATTAGACTCCCCAGTTGACGTGTATTGGACATGTGGTGTGATTTGCTTACTCTTGAACATTGGTAAAAATCGAACATTTCCGCTACTTTGAGCTCAATTACAAGGTCGTTTTCATTGTGAAACTAATCAAAATCATCTCTATTTCTGTAATATGTTTTCCATTTTATCACGTGAGATCATGCAAATGAGAATACAACGCTAAATACTACACAAAAATACACCTCAAAGTCGGCATTTTAATCCCAAAAAACGGTCATTTTTTTTTTCTCATTATGCACTACGTGCTGCAGGATTTTTTTTTATGTGGTGCACATTGACCACACAAACCCATTTTCTCACATGTGGGCCTACCAGCTTTCTCCTGCTTGATTTGAAGCCTCTAGAATTTTTTTTTTTTTTTTCAACAAGTCGGCCGTCTCCCACCGAGGCAGGGTGACCCAAAAAAGAAAGAAAATCCCCAAAAAGAAAATACTTTCATCATCATTCAACACTCGCACATTATCACTGTTTTTGCAGAGGTGCTCAGAATACAACAGTTTAGAAGCATACACATATAAAGATACACAACATATCCCTCCAAACTGCCAATATCCCAAACCCCTCCTTTAAAGTGCAGGCATTGTACTTCCCATTTCCAGGACTCAAGTCCGACTATATGAAAATAACTGGTTTCCCTGAATCCCTTCACTAAATATTACCCAGCTCACACTCCAACAGATCGTCAGGTCCCAAGTACCATTCGTCTCCATTCACTCCTATCTAACACGCTCACACACGCTTGCTGGAAGTCCAAGCCCCTTGCCCACAAAACCTCCTTTACCCCCTCTCTCCAACCCTTTCGAGGATGACCCCTACCCCGCCTTCCTTCCCCTATAGATTTATATGCTTTCCATGTCATTCTACTTTGATCCATTCTCTCTAAATGACCAAACCACCTCAACAACCCCTCTTCTGCCCTCTAATACTTTTATTAACTCCACACCTTTTCCTAATTTCCACACTCCGAATTTTCTGCATAATATTTACATCACACATTGCCCTTAAACAGGACATCTCCACTGCCTCCAACCATCTCCTCGCTGCTGCATTTACCATCCAAGCTTCACACCCATATAAGAGTGTTGGTACTACTATACTTTCATACATTCCCTTCTTTGCCTCCATAGATAACATTTTTTGACTCCACATATACCTCAATGCACCACTCACCTTTTTTCCTTCATCAATTCTATGACTAACCTCATCCTTCATAAATCCATCCGCCGACACGTCAACTCCCAACTATCTGAAAACATTCACTTCTTCCATACTACTCCTCCCCAATTTGATATCCAATTTTTCTTTATCTAAATCATTTGACACCCTCATCACCTTACTCTTTTCTATGTTCACTTTCAACTTTCTACCTTTACACACATTCCCAAACTCATCCACTAACCTTTGCAATTTTTCTTTAGAATCTCCCATAAGCACAGTATCATCAGCAAAAAGTAACTGTGTCAATTACCATTTTGAATTTGATTCCCCAAAATTTAATCCCACCCCTCTCCCGAACACCCTAGCATTTACTTCCTTTACAACCCCATCTATAAATATATTAAACAACCATGGTGACATTACACATCCCTGTCTAAGACCTACTTTTACCGGGAAGTAGTCTCCCTCTCTTCTACACACCCTAACCTGAGCCTCACTATCCTCATAAAAACTCTTTACAGCATTTAATAACTTACCACCTATTCCATATACTTGCAACATCTGCCACATTGCTCCTCTATCCACTCTATCATATGCCTTTTCTAAATCCATAAATGCAATAAAAACTTCCCTACCTTTATCTAAATACTGTTCACATATATGCTTCAATGTAAACACTTGATCTACACATCCCCTACCCACTCTGAAACCTCCTTGCTCATCCGCAATCCTACATTCTGTCTTACCTCTAATTCTTTCAATTATAACCCTACCGTACACTTTTCCTGGTATACTCAGTAAACTTATTCCTCTATAATTTTTACAGTCTCTTTTGTCCCCTTTTCCTTTATATAAAGGGACTATACATGCTCTCCGCCAATCCCTAGGTACCTTCCCCTCTTTCATACATTTATTAAACAAAAGTACCAACCACTCCAACACTATGCAAAGAAAATGATAGGATGGATAATGAGAACTTTCAAAACGAGAGATGCCAAGCCCATGATGATCCTTTTCAAATCACTTGTTCTCTCTAGGCTGGAATACTGCTGTACATTAACATCTCCATACAAAGCAGGTGAAATCGCAGATCTAGAGAGTGTACAGAGATCCTTTACTGCACGTATAAGTTCTGTCAAGCACCTTAACTACTGGGAACGCTTGGAAGCACTTGACTTGTACTCCTTGGAACGCAGGAGGGAGAGATATATCATAATCTACACTTGGAAAATCTTGGAAGGAATGGTCCCAAATCTGCACACAGAAATCACTCCCTACGAAAGTAAAAGACTGAGCAGGCGATGCAAAATGCCGCCAATAAAAAGTAGGGGCGCCATTGGTACACTAAGACAAAACACCATAAGTGTCCGGGGCCCAAAACTGTTCAACAGCCTCCCATCAAGCATTAGGGGAATTGCCAATAAACCCCTGGCTGCCTTCAAGAGAGAGCTGGACAGATACCTAAAGTCAGTGCCGGATCAGCCGGGCTGTGGCTCGTACGTCGGACTGCGTGCAGCCAGCAGTAACAGCCTAGTTGATCAAGCCCTGATCCATCGGGAGGCCTGGTCATGGACCGGGCCGCGGGGGCGTTGATCCCCGGAATAACCTCCAGGTATATGCCCCCCTGCTTTTAACATTTCTGTCATGATCCCATCAGTTCCAGCTGCTTCACCCCCTTTCATTTTACGTAATGCCTCACGTACCTCCCCCACACTTACATTCTGCTCTTCTTCACTCCTAAAAGATGGTATACCTCCCTGACCAGTGCATGAAATTACTGCCTCTGTTTCTTCCTTAACATTTAAAAGTTCCTCAAAATATTCTCGCCATCTACCTAATACCTCCATCTCCCCATCTACTAACTCCCCTACTCTGTTTTTAACTGACAGATCCATACTTTCCCTAGGCTTTCTTAACTTGTTTAACTCACTCCAAAATTTTTTCTTATTTTCATTAAAATTTCTTGACAGTGCCTCTCCCACTCTATCATCTGCTCTCCTTTTGCACTCTCTCACCACTCTCTTTACCTTTCTTTTACTCTCCATATACTCTGCTCTTCTTATAACACTTCTGCTTTGTAAAAACCTCTCATAAGCTACCTTTTTCTCTTTTATCACACCCTATACTTCATCATTCCACCAATCACTCCTCTTTCCTCCTGCCCCCACCCTCCTATAACCACAAACTTCTGCCCCACATTCTAATACTGCATTTTTAAAACTGTTCCAACCCTCTTCAACCCCCCCACT